TGCTTCTTCCCCTAACACTTTCATCTACCATCATTATATCGCATCTGTTCATTACTGCTTCTATTGGTCTCCATTACATATGACCAAACCATCTTCATCTACTGTCTCTCAACTCATCTTCTATCGGTTTCTAACTGTGTCTTTTCTAGTCTTACCACACATCTACTTAAGTATCCTCATCTTAGCAACACCCATCTTATCTACATGTTGTTTCTTAGTTGCCCAACATTCTGTCCCATACAATTTCGTTGGTGTAATAGCCGTTGTATAGAACTTTCTTTTTAATCTAGTAAGCACTAGTTTAAAGTTGTAGAATCGTATGATCCTGATACGGACTTAAACTAGGCCTAAGAATGCCTAGGATGGGATGAGGATGCAAAAATACACTTAGAAAACATTTCGTAAAGTTTGCTGAAAATAGGAGCCTCGCTCGAGCGAGACTTTCTACGCTCGAGCGTAATTCCAAAATCAAAGGCTTCGCTCGAGCGAGTAATCCTTCGCTCGAGCGGTCTGCAAAACAGTAAAAATACTGGATGCTGTGATTTTACGCGCGATGGTCGCTCGATGGTCGCTCGAGCGGATTCCTGGACAAAGGTGCTCGCTCGAGCGGGGAATCCTTCGCTCGAGCGAGGAAGCCAAATCTGGAATTTCCAGATTTGCCTCCCAAGCTCAAACCAAGCATTCAACCACTCCAAACTCGACCTCTTGGGCCCAAATTCTGGAAAACATCATTAAATTCAATGTATAACAAGTTTCAAAGCTCAATTTATGAATTCAAGCCCCAAATGTGAGTCAATTAAAACCACATTCAAACCCTTTTTCAAAAATATGAAGAACATGCAAACATGCATGGATTTAGACCAAATCAAAACTTCAAAGCTTGTTCAAATGAGCTTATTTCTTTTCAAATCAGTTGGAAACATGGTCTATAACAACAATATGAGCATGCATGTATTAATGTCCATGTAATCAACCTCAAAATGCAACAATACCAACATGCATGCAAGAAATGATCTTCAATCCCTCATTTATGGACCAAATCATGACTTAGCTCTACAAATTAACATGAATCATGCAAGAATGAACTCAAGAACAGCAACAAGAAGATGGATGTCCTACCTTGGGTGTAGAATTAGGAGTGAGGGAGCTCAAATTAGTAATTACCCTTCAATTCTTCAAGTTGACTAAGCCAAACCCCAAGAACTACACAAACTCTCACTCTCTCTCTCTCTAAGGTCGGTTGAGGCTCAAAATGTGAGAAGAAGTGTGGGTTTAATCAATACGTGGAGTGTTTACAAGGCTCAAGTGTGTGTATATGAGATAGTGGCAAAATGGTAAATATGGCAAACTCTTTAATTGGCTTATTTTAATCTAATTTAATCATACCTAATCAGTTTTCAGATAAATATACCATAAAATCACATTAATTATGAGGGTCACGGAACATCAATCGGTTTCTAATTCGGCCGCCGATAAGGCCTTCAATTAGCAGTTTAAACATATAAACATGAACAGATAATCAGACAATCAAACAGATAGAATGCAATTAACTAACATATACTCAGTTAATTCAGATTCCAATTTCAATCAGTCAGTTCAGTACTTTACTCAGTTCAATTATCAGTCAGTTATCAGTCATTATCCGTTTCGTTTAACAGTAATCGGTGATTATCGGTAATCAATCAGTCCCTAATCAGTAAACAGTATGAGGGTTGTTACAGATCCCCCGTCCCGAATTATAATGGTTTTTCCCCGAAAAATATCCCCGTGGAGACGGGGATGGTATTCAAAATTAAATCCCCGATCAGTTTCGGGCCGGGGACGGGGATCAGTGTTCAAGCCCCGGCCCGTCCCCGACCCCGGCCCCGAATTTCCCCGAAATAAAATTACTATTTTACCCCTATATACATATATATATATTATAAACCAACCCTTGTCCGTCACTTATTTACACACTGTATTGAACCCCTCTATTTTACACACTGTATTGATTTTCCTTTATCAATACATAAAATAATCATTTTTCTTTATCTTCCTTTATCAATACATAAAATAATCCATCCATCACCACCTCTCATCAATACATAAAACCAACACCTCTGTATTGATTTTACAATTGATTTTATCATCCATCACCGCCCCTCATGTCTCTCTCTCTCTCTCTCTAAAACCCTCCACCGATCTCCCTCTCCTATCACCGCAATCTCCCTCCTCTCCCTCCTCCTATCATCGCGACCTCCTCCTCCGAATCACCGCAGTTGCAGTGACACCATCCGATTCGGCGATCTCCTCCTTCGTCGCCTCTTGCGGCCTCCTCCGTCGGCTCTCGCTTCCCCTTCTCTCTGCCATGGTAGATCTGAGAAGATCCTCCTCTGCCACCGTCGATTTCGTCCCTCCACCAGATCTGACTCTATTTTTTTTTTTTTTTTTTTTTTGTGTTGTTTGTGTTTCAGATTATTTTTTTTTAAGTTTTTTATTTTTAAGTTGATGATGATTGTTGATGATCATGAAGAAACAGATTTAAAAAAAAAAATTGTTGTGTTTCTGTGTTGAACAAAATTAAAAAAAAAAACAAAAACAAAAACAGGTCAGGGATTTTTCGGGGTCGGGGAAACCCGATCCCCGTTAGGGAGCGGGGGCGGGGGGGTTGATGGTGTCCCCGTCGGGGATCGGGGGCGAGGACGGGGATTTTCTGGTCTTCGAGGATCGGGGACGGGGAGGGTGATCCCCGCCCCCGCCCCGCCCCGCCCCGTTGCCATTCCTAGTGACAATCTGCTTTATTGTTATCCATTTTTTTGCTAACATATTGGCTAAATTACAAACACACTTTTTAAGATTTATTTAAATTATAAATTATTTTTTATAATTTTAGAAATTACATTATACCCTTTAAGATTTCTAATTTTATAATAAATAGGTTCTTTTATTAATAAATCATCAAATTAATTAACAATTTTTAATAATATTAAAATTTTATTTCAATTAATAATTCAGATAATTTTATTATTGTATAGGTAAACAGTTAGAAATTTTACTTTTTTAATTAATTCTGTTAAATAAAAAATTATGACAGAGAGATATTTGTAATTTTTCAAATTATAAGAGATAATTTATATTTTAAACAAACTTTAAGGGTGCATTTATAAGGATTGTACGGGGAAAAAAAACCTAAAAAAACACAAATCACAAACCCGCTGATTAAAAAAAAAAAGGGGCAAATTACACAAATAGTCCCTATAGTTTGGGACTTGTGTCACTTTGGTCCATAACTTTTCAACTATGACACATTTGACCATGAATTTTGAATCTTGTTCCAAATAAGGACAATTGAAGATATCATTAGATTTTTTAAGGGTAAAATTGTCAATTTGATAAAATATAAATTAATTTGACAAAAATAAATGTCAAACAAATATTTGTAAATTTTTAAAAATTATTTCTATCCACTAAAAATAAAATTATGTAAAATTGATAAATCTTTTAGACATTTATTTATTGTTTTTACCAAATTAATTTTTATTATGTGTTTGGATGATGATCATGTAAAATTAATTTAAAAAAATTAATCATGTAATTTTTATTAATTTTACATAATTTTATCATTGGTGGATAAAAATAATTTTTAAAAAATTAAAAATATTTTTTTGACATTTATTTTTGTCAAATTAGTTTATATTTTATAAAATTAACGATTTTACTCTTAAAAAATCTAATGATTTTTTCAATTGTCCTTATTTGGAACAAGATTCAAAATTTAAGATCATCACAATTGAAAATTTAGGGACCAAAGTGACACAAATCCTAGACGAACTATTAATATAATTAATCCAAAAAAAATATACAAACCCGAATTCAGTCCGACCCATTCAAATTCGGCCCCACCCACTTGGTGCCCATCCTCAATTTGGTCAGCGATTCGGTTCCCATCCAATTCTAGCGTCAAAATTTATGTATACAGAGAGAGCGCAGGCAAAGCTTCTTCTACCATACGGCGCACGATAGCATCTTTTTAGCAAGAACAATTACAAACGATTTCAGATCGATCGTGTTCAATTCAACGACTTGAGGATGGTAATTCCTATATTTTTCTATTGAACTACGTTGTTTCTTTCTCATATTTGATTTCTATAACATATATGTGTGTGTGCGTATCTGTGTAGGTTTGTTTGGCTTGTTTGGTGCCTCTTTTCCTCGTCCCGATTGTGAACTACTTGCCAATACTGTTTTATTTCATCATGGTAAGATTTATTTATCCTTTTTAATTGTTTTTTAATTCAAAAATCATAATGACCCAATGGTTAGATCTTCTTCAGTTGTTCAATTTTGGAATTTTTTTTCCTTCACGAACTTCTTTATTGGCTACAAGTGGAATTTTTAATTTTTCCCCAATTTTCTATTCTTCAATCGTTCAATTTTGGATTTTTGTCCTTCAGGAACTTGTTTATTGGCTACAAATGGAAAATTTTCAATTTTTTTTTTTCTATTCAATTGTTCAATTCTGAATTTAATTTAATTTTATTCATTTTGGTGGCTACAAATGGCAAAATTTCAATTTTAATTTTTTTTAAAAAAAATTCTTTGTAAAATTTACAGGGAAAAGTTTATGGGCTGTTTGGTTGGGAGTATCGGAAGCCAGTGATAGCACCCCCGGCATGTCCCTACAAGCCTGTGGCCAACAAGAGCAATAGTAAAGTAAGCGTGAATTCTGATTTGATATTTATTTGAATATAATTGTATGCCTGTATATATTGAGAAATCAATTGAGCATGTGGAAAATCTTAGTTTGATTGGGGATGGTTTTCGTGGTGGCACCCAACTGTTGTATGTCTTTGATATAATATTTTCCCGGTGAAGTAAATATGTGATGAGCCGAACCCAAGTGGACAAAATCTTAGAACTGAGAAAAGAGGTTTTTCAATTAAGGAATTGTTTTAAATATAATTATAGTACTTGAAGATGTCTTTTTGTGTCTTCAATGCTTATGCTGTTAAATTGGAATAAGGAAAGAAAAAGAAAAAGTTGTTGGGAAAAGAAATATCAAGAAATTTGAAAATGGTGAAAAAGGTGGCAAGTCTTTGTCGCTGAAGAACCTGATATTAACTCAATATTCTTGGGAAGAATCATTTTACATGATAGGTAAATATTTGATGGTCACCAACAATATCATATTGGCAAGTATTATTGTATACTAAGGGAATCCATGTTGTTTAAATTTTGAAGAATATTTAATTTAGGTGCTATCTTTGTTGGATGGGTGGGTTAAGGGGAACAAATTGAAGAACTGTTTTGTTGAAGGGTAATGAGCTATGTGTAAAACAAGGGTTGATATTTCATATTACGGTCATGAGGTGATAATGATATATTAGTTGTTTTAAAAAGGAGTGATGCTTGTTCAGTACAATAGACCATTAATTATTTTTCGGATACCAAAGCTATCTAGGAGTATATATGTTGGGTTTGGATCAAGGATTTGAGTAGGAATTTGTGGAGGAAAGAAAAAGTGAAATTTTTTTTAGCTTTTATTTCATACACATAATTTTTTCTTTTCATTCATAAATTCTTTTCCAAATCCTTGATCCGACACAAGCACAAGGTATCAACAAATTTTTAGTATTGTAGTAAGAAGTCGGAAAGAGGGTGAGTGGATGATCTATGTAATGCAATGGATCAACAAATGTATATTGCTGGGAAGAAGATAAAAATGTTTGTCTGTATATCTTTTGGGAAAGTACTTGAATAATGTGGATTTAAAACCTTTTCACAAAGTGAATGCACTGGAGGAGCGCATCATCAAGGTAATTGGAATGGGATGATTTTCAATGCAAATTTGGAAGGACAAAAAGTGATTGAAAAGTTGGATGATATCCTCCACCCTCATTCTACCCCTCCGTGTGTCCAATAAACAAGGCACACCTGTCCACCGCTCACGTCCCCCCACCCTTATGTTCTAGTGGGTACTTGAATTTGCACCACTCCTTTTAGGGGTGTCAGGAGCTACCACTCAAGCTAGCTGGTGGTGGAAAGTATACGATGATATTACTTTGTGGAATTGATTGGAATTGCTCAGGGCTATAAGTTTTTGTGAAGAATCTTTTTTTTAGTATGTTTATGAAATTCAAGGGCTAGTGATGGCTAATTGAATCACTTGTATAGGTTTGAAGACAATTATCATTCATCTAGAAAGAGAAAACCCATCAAGTACAAGTTGAGATGGATAAGTATTTTATCATCATTATTATTGCAATTTTTACTGAAATAGGAAAAGGAATTATTTTATCCAATGATTGCTTGCATTAATTCTCTAGTGCTCTTTTACTCTTTAGTTCTTGTTTTTTTTCCCCATAACAAGTCGAATTTATTGTGGTTTGTTGCAAAATAATTCAAACCAACAATTGAATATCTAGTTTGCTTCCTGTAGCTGTTGTCTTCTTTTTATAATCATAGTTGTCTGAATGGAAACTGTGGGTTATTTTAATGAATCATTGCTTGTACTTGCTCTTTAGTCTTTAATGCCATTCGTGGCCCCGATTAGACCAAAATATAGCAACCAGCAGCTGCTAGGCAAACTATCTTTAGTTGGAAAATAATTCATAAAGCAGCACTGGATTTCCATTGTGCTGGTTGCTTTTGTTTATAATTGGTGTGATTCTACACGTTGGCTTTGTTGATACTTTTTGTTGATCATGCCATAATCTTTTTCTATTTGTTTGGATGTCCTTTGAAGTATGAACTGTAAAATGAAAGAGAGCGGCTTGTTTTTTTACAGGTGGGAGCAGAACCTGACCTGGGTGCATCGGAGCCTGTTCGGAAATCAGTGGGGGTAGTAGATGACGGCAAGATTGACTGAAGTCGTGGACTACTCTCCTTGCATAAATATCAAAATTGAATGTTTTATAGCTTTCTTGTGAGGTAAAAGAGGTTTCTTTAGTTGGTTGTGCCGAAAGACAAGTGATGTTATCAGATTGTGTTTTTGAGCAATCACTGCTTGTTGAGAGATAATGTTGGATTATATGCATTCTAATCATGTGAAACTATAAATTAGTTTATTGTTTATTTCTATGTAAATTTGATGGGAAAATTTGATTTGGGGCAAGCTAATTTGAACTACCGTTCAAAAAAAAAAAAGAAAAAAAGAAAAAGAAAGGAGAGGCTAATTTGAACTAGATCTTATTTTTGAAACACTTGTTAGGACTTGGATGGAGGTTTATCTTCGCTTTCGTCATTGTAACTTCGTTTTCAATCGTCCTTGGTTTTTCTTGTCGTCTCAGGGAATTATCCTAGTTCGAACTTGGATTGAAAACGGAACGAGTTTCAAGTTTAAGCATGGCTGTTCACTTTTCAAGCTTATCTCAGACGAGCATTGAGTGAAAGGTGGATGATCTGAGCTCAAGTAGCTTAATTTTTCACCCAGTTTTTGGGCACTCAAATCTTTTGCTTTATGGACCTAGGTACTCGAATCCATCCTAAGTGTTTAGGGCCAGAAATAAGAACCATGGGCAGGCAAATTATCCAGGTTCACTGGTCTTTAAAATCTGTATGCTCTTTACTTTCTATGCCATAACTTGAAAGACACCTTTAACAATTTCTTAAAACTTTGCACTCAACTCTTAGTTGGGAATGATGGCTTCAAAATGGTGCTGGTAGTAGCCCTTGCATGATCTCTTTGGATCCTCTGTTACTTTGGAATCTCACCAATTAATTTATATTGAAAAATTTTATTCTTACATAAAATTAAAAAAAAAAAAATGACAAAAATGATGTGGTAATGCTATTATTATAAATAAATTCATCTTCAATGGTGTTTTGTTTTTAATTAAAAAAGATTTACAATGAACCACATCATTATATATGTAAATTATTTATGAATTTTTTGTTTGTATAACATTATTCTTTATATTTTGTAAAATTCTATGGACATCTCACTTGATACCAAAATTAAGTTATGTTTGGTTTTGATTTTTTTGGCTAAAAAAGCACAAAAGACAAAATTGGCTACATAAACTAATAAGATAAAATGTCACATCCAAACAATAATCATTATATATTTTCTCTCATAAAAATTAAAAAAGTCAGAAATAAAAATCAAATGAGGCTAAAAAAGTTAGGTTAAAATAGCCAAAAAATAAAAAAGGCAGAGGTATATATTCGAATTTTTTTTTTTTGAATTTTAATTTTTTTTTACGTGCTTTAATAGAATTTTGAGTTGTATGTTTGGTTATAAATTGTAAGTTTTTGTATCAAATATCAAATGTCACATCAAAAATTTTCCACTCAATTCAAAACTCTTTTCAAAACTCTTTCACCAAACAAATTTTCCACACTCAAATCATAATTCTAAAATTCACAAATTCAAAATACAACTTATATTCTCAAATCATAGTTAGAAAGTTCTACTAAACGCAACCAAACTTTAACCCTGCCCTAACCCTAGCCACCACCAACAACTTCAGCTAGTCCCTTGCTACTTTTTAGTGTCACCCCTAGCCTTTTCGCACCTTCTGACACCACTCTTAACCCCTCCTCACCCTTCGGTGCCAAGCCCAACCCCTCCTTCCCTAGCTATACACCCTCTCTTACATCACCACTAGTCATCACGTGAGATAGAGAATAGTGATGCGATAAAGAGAAATAGCTATTAAGAGAGAGAATCATGTAAAAGTGGGTGAGGGGAGAAGAAAGAAAGTCGTGGGCATAGAGTGCGGTTGTGGGGAAGACTAGTAAGGGTTGGGAGCGGCGGCTGAAGCTAAGACGGAGTTGTTGGGCAACAACTAGAGTTGGGAATGGGAAGGAGAGAGTGGTTGGAGTTGGGTTTGACAACCGAAGATGATGATGATAGGTGGCGGGTGGTGCGAGCTAAAGTTATGATTACAGATGAAGACAAAATTAAAATTTTATGATGTAGTAAAATTATATTATTATTATTATTATTGTTTCGAATAAATGGTATGAAATTGGAGTGTTATTAATAGCTCCATTGAAAAACTAAAAGAAAATTATGGATGATTTAGATGTGCAAGTGAGAGACACAAATTATTGAGGACTAATTAGATTTTCATTTTTCCAATGATCACATTAACCTTTTTCCTTTATGTTTTCTTATATCACTTTCTTCATCTTTTGAGCCTTTTTTTAGTCAAAAGTTTCGATAGATTAACAAGTAGATTGCCCGGCTCAGTGCTTGCGGCGTTGTGGGCCGATTCAGCATCTCCGGGTTCGGGCCCAAACATCCTCTTCCACTTGTTGCTCTTATCATGTGAAAAAAAAAAAAAAAAAAAAAAAGCATTTAATAAGTTGTTTAACGTTTAAGTTAGATTTATTTACTTTTTTCAGTTAATATTTTTTTTTGGAATAATTTTTCCACTAATCTTAAACGAATATCAAGCTCGTGTAGATTAAATTTTTATAATATAAGATTATCAATTTGAGTTTAAATCGAACTAAAAAAATTAATAAACTTCAAATTTCATTTAAATTTGATTTGTTTATATAATGAGCTAATTAAAAACAAATCAAGACTGATCCATTTTACAACATAGTCATTCCACTATAAAAATAAATTTTAGGGTTAATTATATGAACATCTTTTAAGTATTAGCAAATATTATCACTTTACCCTCTCATCTATAAATTCATACATTTTGATCTCATCAATTTTGAAAATCGTATAAATTCAATTTTTTTGGAGATAATTTAAAGGGAGTAAAAGTAATATATTTTTCATAATTGAGGAAGTTTAAATATACGAATTTATAAATGAAATGAGTAAAATGATATTTATTAATAATTAAGAGGGTACTAGTGTAATTAACTTTAAATTTTATCAAGACTAGAAGTTAGGCATCATGTGAAAGTGCCACAATAGCTTCAAAATTTCCAGACAAGTAGGGTTCTCCATAGCATTAAAATATATGGCCCGTTTTGGGATATTAGTTTGGGTTAAAATAATTATATAACACAAAATAATCTGCTTTAGTTAAATAGGATAAAATATTACATTTAGCTTATAATCATTTTATTTTTTTCTCACATAAAAATCATAAAAGTAAAAAAATCTATCCTAAATGAACTTTTTTTTATCTCAAATTAAAATAGTTAAAAAGTTAAAAAAATTAACTCACATTTCAAATGAACCATATATATATATATGGAAAATGCCTCTGACCTCATGTGGAGGTGCTGGGGGTCGTGCGTGTAGGGCCTGATTGGGCAGAAAAAAAACTTTTTTTTTTGTTTTTTTTGTTTTGTTTTCAACCAATGAGGGCCCGTTTTGGGATATTAGTTTGGGTTAAAATAATTATATAACACAAAATAATCTGTTTTAGTTAAATAGGATAAAATATTACATTTAACTTATAATCATTTTATTTTTTTCTCTCATAAAAATCATAAAAGTAAAAAAATCTATCCTAAATGAACTTTTTTTTTATCTCAAATTAAAATAGTTAAAAAGTTAAAAACATTAACTCACATTTTAAATGAACCATATATATATATATATGGAAAATGCCTCTGACCCCATGTGGAGGTGCTGGGGGTCGTGCGTGTAGGGCCTGATTGGGCGGAAAAAAAAAATTGTTTTTTTTTTTGTTTTGTTTTCAGCTAATGAAACCGCACCACGTCACTGGGAGTCGGACCCCACTAGGGTCTGTAGCATTGTTCTATATATATATATACACAATGTCAATAATTAAATTATTTATTTATTTTTTGTGGGGAGATGTTAAATAGAACATTTGATTGGAGATTGTTTCACTATCTATGACCTAGCAAAATCTTAATGTAACGATTTGGTAGGCCCCTTCTTATATCTGGCATATGCTTGTTCCTGCAGCTCAACACAGGTAGCCAAGAAAAGTTAATTAGGACCATCCTCGACATTGACTGTGACATTTTGGTACCAATTTTTATTATTTTTGAATGACCACTTTGTGAAAATTTCTTCATTTCATGTCCTATTTATTTATTTCTTTTGCTTTAAAGTTTCTAACACCGTTGGACTATTTTAAAAAGATAGTTATAATTAGGGGTGGTTTAGAATATTCTATAAATAAGTGTATTTTTTGATTTTTTATGAAATATGGATTGAGTATGGGTTGAGTTTGAAATGATGTAGAAGAGAGGTGATCTGACTTAAATAAGATGATGTGACTTAAATATGATAGTGACTTTTTAATTTTTTGACTTTTTTAATATACGCCAAACAAGGCCTTAGTTTTTGGTTAAAAGTTGCTTATAAACTGTTTATAAGTAGTTTTTTTGTGAGAGAGGAAATGAGTTATAATCTGAGAAGTGGATTATAACCCACTTCTCAAAAGGGCCATTGTTGTTGTTATTATACAAGTCCTCTGGAAGTAATTATTTATTAGTGTCGGAACACAAACGTAGCACCAAGCAATGATGCTCCAGTATTAATAATAGCAATAGTCACTGGCCTCGTTTGAAAATTTAGTTATTTTAAGTAATTATTTAATTTTTTTAGTTATTTTAATCTAGTTAAAAAAATCGCGTTTAAAAAGTTAGTAATTGACTTTTTTTTAGTTGATTTGATGGTTATAAAAGAAATAAGAATAAATTATGAGTTGGATGTGATATTTTATTTTATTAATTATTTCAACTTATTTTGCCAGTTAGCTATTTTAACCAAACCTTCTTCCCAAACACCATCACAATGTGAGTCGAGTCAATTTAACCATCATTGTTTGGTTAAGTGGAGATAAGTCTATTTGCTTTGAGTAATGTTAGAAATATCGAACAATTTATCAAAATTTCTACCATATAAGATATTTAATAAATCCTCTAAAGTCTCTAATATTTTTTATTTATTTTTGTGCCACTTCTTTAGTCGAGAATGACACTTACATATTTACCCCACCAAAAAAATACACATAAGTATTCTAAAACTGTTGAATAGTTTTCTTGCAAAAGTTATAAGAATATTGAAAAATTTTACAGGGAAAAATACAAGCATGAGACAAAAGAATTGGGCGCATATCTTTTGTCTCACATTTGTAATTGATTCTATCAAAATTTTGTGTTCCTCAAACAACTAATTTTCCCGTGCATGGTTCGAGAAAATGA